TCCCCACTGGGCCACCTGCCTCAGTTTCCCCGCCTCGAGGGCCGGCCGGAAGAAGGCCACTTTCGGGGGGCTGCTGAGGGCGGGTCTCGGTCCCGGGCTGGGGGCCCCCGGCAGGGCCTCGGCGGCCCGCGCCCCCCGCCCCGCCCGCCGGAGGCGCGCGCCCCCCGCCCCGCCCCGCCCCGCCCGCGCCCGCGCACGTGACCCCGCCCGCGGCCCCGCCCCGCGGCCCCGCGCGGCCTCCCATTGGCCGCCCGCCCCGCCCCGCCCGCGCCCGCGCACGTGACCCCCGCCCGCGGCCCCGCCCCGCGGCCCCGCGCGGCCTCCCATTGGCCGCCCGCCCCGCCCCGCCCCGCCCGCGCCCGCGCACGTGACCCCGCCCGCGGCCCCGCCCCGCGGCCCCGCGCGGCCTCCCATTGGCCGCCCGCCGGGCCCCGCCCCCGGAGGGCGGAGCCGGCCCGGCGCGGCGCCCCGCGAGGCTCTGCCCATCCCCGCGCTGCGCGGCGGCCGGAGCGGACCGGGCCGGGCAGCGGCGGAACCGGGCCGGCGGCTGCGGCGGGCTCGGGCCGGCTGCCGGCCGCGCCATGGTGAGTGGGGCAGCGGCCGGGCCCGGCGGCGGCGGCGGCGGCGGCGGGCGGGGGCGCCTCTCCGTGCGCGCGCCCCGGACAAAGGAAGCGGCGGGCGCGCCCGGCCCGGCGCGCTGGACAGGCTGGACCCGGCCCGCCGGACGGGCTGGACCCCCGCGGCCGCGGGGCCGGGCGGCGGCGGCGGTCGGGCCGCCCGCGCGCCGCGAGGGCCCCCTGGGCAGCTGGGGAAACTGAGGCCCGGCCGCCCCGGCGGAGGCCGCGGGCGGGGGCCGCGCGGCGTGGACACGGCCCGGCCCGCGGGGTCTCCGCCGCCCCCCGCCCGGCCCCGCCGCCCCCCAGCTGTCCCCGCGCCAGCTGTCGCCCCCGGGCCCGGCGCCTGGACGCCGGGGCCGGGCGTGGCGGGGGGTCTGCACGGGAGGCCCCGCTGGGATGCGCGCGGCGGGCGGGGGTCGCCCGGGAGGGGAGGAGGGCGCGGGGCGCTGTCCGGAGCGTGGACACCCCCCCCCCGCCCCGCGCCGCTGCCTCGGGGCGCGGTGTGACCTTGGGCCGCTGGCACGACTTCTCGGACCCGGCGCCTCTGGCGATGCGGTGACTCCCGGGTTTACAGCTGCGCGTCCGGCGTGATGCCCAGGGCGGCTGCCCAGGGAGTGACCAACGGCTCATTCACGGCGGCCCAGATGCCCCTGCTGCCCCGCCGCCCCGGCTTCCTCTTTTGCATGGGGGAACCCAGCATGCAAAAACTCAGCACCCCGGGGACTGAGTTTCCTGCTCGGCAGGACCGGGTGGGGGGCACCGGGTGGGTGGGGGGCATGAGGAGGGACAAGGACGCAGAGTTCGCAGCCGGGCACAGCCCGAGTCTCGCCTCCCACCCCCCTCCCCAGCCCTGATCTTCAGGCCCGGGTGTTGGCAGGGCAGCATCCCCGGGCCCGCTGGCTCATGAGCCCCCTGCCCGTGGCACCCTGTGTTCTCAGGCCCCCCAAGCGTGAACAAACCGGGCAGGAAATGTGCCTGTTTGTGAACTGGGGCTCCCCCGCAGCAGCGTCAGGCTTGGCTCGTTGGCTCACCTGGCGATGGCGCGGTCAGGGTCAGGTGCTGGGCTGTGACCTCCCGCGGGCAGAGCTGGGAGCCCCACGGGGGCTGGCCCCAGAATCCGGGAAGGCCCGGGGCAGAGGTGCCCGGCTGGCTGGCCGAGGGAGCTTAAATCGGCGGGCGCAGTGCCTCCCAGCCGGACTCCTGCCCTCCCCGAGTCGGGGGGTCCCTGGGGCTTCCCGTGCCTTGAGGCGTCCGAGAAAAAACCCGCGGCCGGCAGCCCTGGTGGCCCGGGCCCGTGTCCTTGCTTGGGTTGGTTTTGGCAGCTCAGGGCTGTGTCCGCTGGGCAGGTGCCCCCTGCTGAGCCCGGGACAGGGGGTCACTCGGACGGGGGGTTCCGCTCTACCTGTGGCCTCCTGGGCCTGGCTCCGTGCAGTGACGGGTTTGGTTTGGGGGTTGCATGAGGAGCTGGGGAGACATGGGTTGCAGACGCCCCGGGGGAGAGTGGGTGGAAGGAGACCCTCCAACACACACACACACACACACACACACACACAAGGTTGTGCACTTCCCCTTCCGAGCGACGGGGCTTGGGGCAGCGCAGAGGCCTGGGAGGAGGCCTATAGAGTGGGTTTTAGCAGGGCACACCCCGCAGTGCTCAGGGGACGGGCTGGGGCGGTGGCTTGAACCTGGGCCTCCGCCGAGCAAGGTTTGTGCACCTGAGCGTTTTTCCAGGAGTTGGGGGCCTGGGCCTGAGGGTTTGGGGGGGATTCTGCCGGTCTGAGGCTTCCGACGGCTTCCAGAGAGCTGGGGGGTGAGGGTGCGGCCTCAGCCCTGAGCCCCCCAGCACGCCCCCCGGCTTCTGGGCCCTTTCTCCTCAGCAGAGGCCCCCTCTGCACCGTGGAGCCCCACTTCTGGCCTTTTCTCCCACTGCCTCAGTCTCCCGGTCTCCCAGATAGCTCAGCTGGCCGCTGTGACTGACCGTCGGCAGGGCTGGAGGGAGATACGGAGGTGTCTGGGGGCTCCCTGGATGGTGCTCCTGAGGACTCACTTCCCCGCCCCCATGTCTGTGGAGCCTGGCTGTGCTTCCTGCGTTCCCTCCCGTGGGCAGTGCCCGGGCTGGGGGCGGCCGCCTTGCAGGAGACGGGCTTTGAGGGGCTGGGGTGCCCCTGGATCCCAGCACTCACGGGGGCCTCCTGGGCCTGGGCGATGGTGGGGGTCGTCCCCAGCTGCATTTCTCAGGGTCTCACAGGGCAGCTGCTAGGTGCCTGCACGGGGGCCCGACACCGAGCTCGGGGCCACCTGCAGGACTTCCCGGGTGGGGACAGTGGCGGGAACGGAATGGACGTCCTGGGGCTGTGGGGGCCCGGGGTGTCTGGGGGTGAAGGCGGCCGAATGTAGAGGCTGCGGGGGAGGGGCGGGGCGGGGGCCTCCTCCCAGAGTCCCCCTGACCAGGCAGCAAGAGCCTTCGGTTCCTTGTTGGTCCTGCCCCTCCGTGGCCTCAGGCCAGCCCAGGGTTTCCCCGGTGGTTTATCCCTCAAGAGCCCCCTAACCCCCAATTGTCTGTGGCTGTTGGATTTTTCGCTTCCTGCCCTGAAGTCCCCCTTTCCTCTCCGCTCTCCGCCCCTCAAAACACACACACACACACACACACACACACACACACGTGCATGCACTTCCCCTTCCAAGCGGAGAGTGACCTTCCTTCCCGTCCCGGAGTCCCGTGGGACCCGTGTGTATGTGTGTGTGTGTTTGAGAGAGAGAGAGAGACCCGTGGAGTCCCGTGGGACCTGTGTGTGTGTGTGTGTGTGTGTGCGCGCGCCTGGTGGGGGGCAGGGGGGCCTGACAGGTGGGGGCTGTTGCGGCAGGAAGAGGGAGAGGCAGGGACAGGCAGCCTGCCTCTGCAGAGCCCTGGGGTTCCTGTTCCATGTTGGGGGGTCCCCTGGACAGGCTGTAGCAGCTCCCTCTCCCTGCACGGGGTGGGGGTGGGGTGGGAACGGGCCACATCCTCCCCTGCAGCCCCCTCCGCACCCAGTGAGTGGCTCCGGCCTCCGTTCCAGGACCCCAAAGCCCAGCCTCCCTTGCAGAGTTGTGTGTGTATGTGTGTGTGTGGGGGGGGGCTACCTGTGTACTCAGCACAGAGCTGGACACACAGCCTGAAGTTGGAGGCAGCTGCTAGCCAGAAGGCGGAGGCCAGGCCTGGGGATGGGGAGGGCAGGCTCAGCAGAGGGTGGGAGCATTGGGGGGTTTCATCTCCGTGCCGTGATGCAGGGGGGCTCCCGAGGGGGTGTGAACAGCGCCCGCTTTTCCCCTCCGGAAGCCGGGAGCGGTGAGGAGGGAACCAGCCTCGTCCCCAGGGTGGAGGCGGCCGCCCACTGGCTGGGTCAGATCAGGTGGGGGTGGGTGGGGGGTCATGGGGGGCTCAGGGCTGTGTCCCGGAAGGGCTCGTAAGAAGCCCCTTTGACGGCCTCTGCTGAGGCTGGGGCGCCCCACCCCCCACTTGGGGACCGCTGGCTCCAGGCCAGCTGACAGATGTGGGAGTGTCCGGCCTGGGGGCCCTGGGGAGCTGCTCACATCAGCACCCCCAGGCTCCCGCCTCCCGTGGCCCCAAGTGCCCCGGCTGCCCGGGGAGGGTCTGGGGCCAGCATGGTGGGGAGTTGAGGTCTGGTGGTCCAGCCTCACGTGCCCAGTGAGCAGCAGAGGCTCCCTTGTGCCCCCCTGCCCAGCCCGAGCGGGGCCACACTCCGCCTGCGACCCCCTCCCCAACCAGGGAGCCACTCTGGGCTCTGTGCTAGGACCCCAAAGCCCAGCCTCCCTTGCAGAGGAGGGTGTGTGTGTGTGTGTGTGTGTGTGTCTGTGTTTGTGTGTCTGACACAGGCTGCTGTCACCCACACCCCTCATTGCTGTCAGGTCCCCAGCCTTGGGCCACCCCCGGCACGGCACCCTCTCAGTGTCTGAGCTGTGTCTGGACACTTTGTGGGCACTTCTGGAACCTCCTCCAGGAGGACAACGCACTTCACTGCAGTGTGGGTGGTCGCAGCCCCCCCCCTCCGCCCCGAGCATCCCAGGGCAGAAGGGGTGACTGCCCGGCCCAAACCTACCGGAGCCATAGGACCGCGGGGACGGCGCTTGTCCTGCCCGCCGCCGACCCAGGTTCCGTCCCGGCCCCCCATTCCCCGCCCTGCCAGGAGGGACCCCGAGCACTGAACCAGGAATGAGCCCTGGGCCCCACCAGACGCGGCCCCCTCCGCTCCCCCAGGGCCCCCCTCCAGGCTGAAGCTCGCAGAGGCTCGCCCCCCGAGCATGCCGGTGGCCCCCGCTCCCGTCACCCCGTCTTGCTTGTGTCTCGCAGGGCTCACGTGCGCACCCCGGGGTCCAGCCTCGCTGAGCCAGCCGCCCGCCCGCCGCCAGAGCTTCCCGCCGCGGGAGCGCCACACCCCGACCATGTCGATCGTGGACCACAGCCCCACCACGGGTGTGGTCACGGTCATTGTCATCCTCATCGCCATCGCCGCCCTGGGGGCCCTCATCCTGGGCTGCTGGTGCTACCTGCGGCTGCAGCGAGTCAGCCAGTCGGAGGACGAGGAGAGCATCGTGGGCGACGGCGAGGCCAAGGAGCCCTTCCTGCTGGTGCAGTACTCGGCCAAGGGACCCTGCATGGAGCGGAAGGCCAAGCTGACGCCCGGCGGCCCCGAAGCGCACGGCTGAGCCGGGCCCGGCTCCGGGCATGGACCGACGCCGGGCGCCCCCGCGGCCCCCCACCGGCTGCCCACTGCAGGCAGTGGGCGGCCCCGACCGAGCTGCGGCCGCCACCAGCCCCCCTTGCGCTTTTTGTTACTTGAATGTCCAGCTGAGCCCGTTGTCAGTGACGCTTCTGCTGTACTGCGCAGACTGTAAATAGGCCCCGACGCACACGCTTTGCAGCCTCCCGCCGTGCTGCCCCCCGCCCCCCGGGAGGCGCTGGGACCGCTGTGCTCATGATGCCGCCCTTGGTGGCCACAGCGGGCGGCGGGGGGGATCGAGTCCCCGATGCTCGCCGGGCGCCGGCCGCTGCTACGGGGAACGAGGGCACTTGGGTTGTTCGGGGGCCCGGACCGGAGGGGGCGGATCGTCGCTTGGTGACTGCTGCCTGGCAAGCATGATGGAAGCATCGTGACCCCCTCCCTCCGCATTCGCCTGGACCTTCTGGGTTCCCGGACGCCGGAGCGATTGTCAGGAAGCCACGGCTGCTGCCTGGGCGCCGGTGAGGGACGTGCCACAGCGCCGTCCCGAGGCTGCCAGGTGGACGGGTGGCGGAGCAGTCCCGGTGCCCTTGGCCTGGACCAGGGCCCCGCCCTGCCATCAGCCCTGGGTAGTGCCTGCTCGGCTCCTGGGAGCTGCCTTGACCCAGTCCCCGTGCGCCTGGGCTCCGGGAGGCGGGAGCCAGTGGTTTTCCTTGGTGGTTTCATATTTTCTGCACTGGATGGGGAGGGGCCGGGGGGCCTCGAGTTCCCTCCGCCTCCCCTTTTTGCTGGGAACTGCCATTCTGCTGGGTCCAGCTGCACCTGGGCCTCCCAGCTCCCCAACAGGACCCTGGACTGTGAGCGCCGTTTCCCGTGGTACCTGTGGCCCCCGACGTCTGTGCCGGGGTCCCCCCCGCCACCCAACTCATCCACCCGGGGTGGGAGGCAGGGACCCTGTGCGGGCTGCCTGCACGTTCCGACCCCGAATCCCAGCGCCATGAGCCCGTCCCCAGCAATCATGGTGAAGACACGGCTCATGGTGGCCGCCTGGGCCCCACGTGGCAGTTTCAGTGCCACGATCCCCGCCCCCTGCCCCCCGCCCCCCAGCAGCCTCCTGGCTCGGGGGTCATCCTTCCCGCTCCCGTCCACTGTGGACAGGTCGAGCTGAGCTGCTTTCTAGAACCCCTTCCGGGAACTTTCCTCCCGGTACAACCTGCAGTGGGAGTCCAACATGAGTCATTGGGGGGAACGGTGGGGGCGGCCCAGGCTTTGGGGGCTCAGAAAACAGCTGGGTCTTGGAGGCGGCAGCGCTTTCCTTCGGTCCCCCGCGGGGGCTGGCCCAGGCAAGTCACCGGAGTGGGAGGACACTGAGGTCGGGGAGGGGAGGTGATGGAGACGTCCTCTGAGCAGGGGGCGGGAGGTGGAGGGGGGTGCTCCGTTCCTGCACTTTTGAGCTTTCTACCTCCGTTTCCTGCTCACACCTGGGCAGTCCGCGCCCCCCACACCCCCCGCCCCGTGAGGGTTTTCCTGCCCAGGACCTGGTCACAAAATGACGCTTCCTGCAGAGCTGCCCTCTCGGGGGGCGAGAGCTGTGCGCACGTGTGGGGTTCGGGGGAGAGTGGACACGCTGGGACAGCCGTGGGAAGCGCCACTCAGACGACGGCATCCTCTGCTCCGGGGGGCCGGCAGCCACTGCCCCCCAGAGCCCCGGTGGCGCTTCAGGGTCAGCTTGCGTGTCACGCCGCGCCAGCGACCAGGGCAGGGGCCGCGCAGATGCCTCCACGGACCCCGCGCCAGGTCTGCACGGAGCCGCAGTTTGTGCAATAACGGGGAGGGGCGCGTCCCTCCCCGTTCCGTGAGAGCCGAGTGACGGTCAGGCCGATTTTCTAGACCACTGAGAAAAATCTTTATTTACAATAAATTTCCGTAAAATTTGCATAAATAGGTTCCCAACGCACAGTGCTCCCTCCTCTCCTGCCGCCGCTCCGCTCAGCCGGTCCTGTTCTCCGGGCCCGGGGGGCTGCCGGGGGGCTCGGGCCCGGCCGGGGGGGCGCGGTCCGGGGCCTCCAGCTGCCGCTCCACGCCGGCCACCAGGAGCCGGAGCCAGGCGTCCTCGGCGCGGAGGCTCCCGGGGGCCCCCGCCAGCCCCTCCAGCTCCCGCGCCTTCTGCCGGTACCGGGCCCGCAGCTGCTGCCCGTGGCGCCGGAGCCGGCCGTGCTGCGTCTCCAGCGCCCGCTTCTGCCGCAGCAGCCGGCGCTCGTCCAGGCGCGCGCCCAGCAGCCGCGCCTCCACCTGGCCCTGCGCCCGCTGCAGCGCGGCCAGCTCGGCCCGCAGCTGCCCGACCTGGCGCTCCAGGTGCGAGATGCGGCCGCGCTGCAGCCCCGCCTCGCTCCGCGCGCAGCCCGGCCCCGGCGCCCCCCCGCGCGGGGCCGAGTGCTGCAGGACGAAGCGCAGCAGGTTCGGGACCGTCACCGGGAGGTCGCCGGGGAACTTGGCGCTGAGGTCCTTCCTGGGGGCGGGGGGGGGGGGGAGAGCGCGGCCGTGAGCCGGGCCACGGGCGATCACTCGTGCCCAGCGCCCCACCCAGAGGCGGGCGTCCCGATCCAGGCCCCGCGGTGCCGGGCAGGAGCGACGGGAAGGCCGGGGGGCGTCCCCGGGTTGGGGGCCGACCCCGAGGCCGGGCGCTGGGCGGGTTCCTGCCTGCAACGGTTCTCGGCACACCCCCGGTCTGCGGGCCCGTCAGCACACGCCCGGCCTGCTAGGCTGAGGGGGGCCCGCATCGAGGAGCACAGAGTGGAGAGAGGCGCCCCCCTCCGCCCATCGGGAAGAGCCGGCCCCTCACGGGACAGGAGGCAGGTTACGGGACCAAGGTCCGGCCAATGACGGGTTGAGTTTGGGCTTGGGGGGCATCACACTGGCAGCGCCGAGGAGCGAGTCCCGGTTCCGTGCCCAGGATTCTGAACCCGGTCCCCCCCCTTCACGGCCCGCGCTCAGCCCGCCTAGCCGCCTCCTGAACCCGCCAACGGGTTCTCAGACAAAACACACTGTTCCTTCAAAAGGCAAAGGCACACCTCGGACTCCCGGGCCCGAACATTCCAGAAGAGGAATGCCCTTGGGGGAGGGCCCTCCCCACACCCACCCAGAAGCACCGGAAACGGCTCAGGGGAGCAAGAGGAACGTGGACTTGAGTGGGCGCTGCCAGGCACCCTGGCAGGGAGCACCAGCCTGGGTGACCCTGGCGCCCCCGGGCCCTGGGGAGGGCGTGGCACAGGGCAGGAGGCCGGGAGCCACCTCTGAAGTGACCATGGCCACCGACCGTGGGCAGCTCCAGCAGCCTGCCCGCCCCTGCCCCTCCAGGCTCCCCTGAGCAGGTCTGCATACTGAGGCCAGAGGGAAAGCGACAGGAGGGTCCCCCAGAGACAGGGGCCCCTTCCCAGAGGGAGCCCCACCCACACCTACCCCGGATGGGCCTGGGCGGCTCGGAGACGGGACGCCAAACAGGCAGGCCTGGGCAGACGCAGCTCTGCCCTCCTGGGGTTTACGAGAGGACTGGCGAGGAACTGAGGGGTGCCCCGGCTCCCCAAGAGCCCTCCTCCGTAGCCACAGCGGCCCCGCCACCGTCCTGCACATGCGCACACGCGGGCACGCGACCCTTCCAGTGCATACGTGTCTCTCGCAGCCCTCGTGGCCAGGAGGAAACGTCCATCCAGAGCTCGCGCTGGGGCGCCTTGGCACCGGGAAGCACGGGAAGGAAGACTCCCCACCCAGCCCGGGCCCCCGGGCACCCCCGTGCGATTCCCGGAGCCTCCCTCAGTTCAGTCTCGCTCCCCGGCCGCCGAGAATGCGAGTGCGCGGGCAGGCGGGGCTTAGACTGTCCAGCACAGCCCCCACGGCCGCAGGAGGGCCAAGCAGGAATGTCCCAAGGCCACCAGGAGTGACCCCTGAACACAGAGCCGGGAGTCGTGCCTGAGCACCGCTGGGTGTGGCCCCCACAAACGTTCTGAGACGCAGACCAAACCCCAAGGAAACGCTGGGAAGGAAGGAGGCGTGGGCATGGCTGCGGTGGCGCTGAGTGGGGTGCGGGCTGGGGTCTCACGCGAGCGAGCGGGGCCTGCCAGGGCATCCCGGCAGGATCCCGTGGAAGCCACGTGACTGGCGCCCCGGGGACCATCCACGGTGAAAACAAAAGGGGGCCGCGAGGAGGGGGGCCAACATCTGGCTCAGCCGCCCGCAGGTCCGAGTTCATTTCCTTTTCCAAGGAAATAGCAGGCCCTGCCCAGCCCTCCTTCCTGGGGGTGGCTTCCGCCTGGTGGCTGTGCACCAAACCAGGGGAGCTCTGACGGGTGCAGGGAGACCCAGGGGACCCCCTCCGGGAGGGCCCAGAGGCCCACCTGCCCCGAGCACCCCCTTCCTCCTCGCCAAGGGATGCAGGCCTGGGGGGCTCCCGTGAGGTGTGTGTGGAAAGCGGGGCCAGACACCAGACACCCCAGAAGGCTCTGCCAACACGGGGGCGGACGGTGGGTCTCTACGCCCTCTGCGTGTCACGGTCACTGCCTGGCCAGTGAACACGACAATCCGGAGCGAGCCCCACCCAGAGGGGGAGATTCTGCTGCTGCTCCATGGATCCCTGCCTTAGGGCCACAGTGCAGTGACTTTGCCCTGGGTCAGCGCGGATGGCTGCACGGTCAGGGGGGCCCGCAGGGGCGTCTCAGGTTCAGCCAAGGAGCCCCCCACTCCACAGAGGAAAATGCCCCCACCCCCTGGGAAGCACCCGCCCATACTGGGAAATCCCCCGAGCCCACGGCAGGAAGCCCCCGGGGATGGCCAGCTGACCTGTGGCAGGGGAAGAACAGGACGGTGGGCAGCCGGTCCACCATGAACTCCCAGGGAAGGTCGTTCCGGGACACGTCGATCCTGCGGAGCGGGAGAGGGCAGTGAGAGGCGGCAGGCAGGGACGGCGACGGGGGATGGGCGGCGCCAGGCGCGGGCATCGTCCTTGACTGGCAGCAGAGTGGGACTTCCCTGAGGTCCAGCCCCGCAGGCCCCGGGCGAGTCCTGTGACCTCCTCGGTCTGGCTGGAAGGAGGAAGTTGGGCGGGAGATACTCGGCCTTGGGCTCAGCTGGGGAACGGGGACCAGGGCTGGGAAGGGGTTTTTCTCGGCCGGGCTTACAGGACTGTCTCACGCGGAGGGGGTGAGAC